AAAAAAAAAAAAAAAAAAAAAAAAAAAAGGATTTATTGTGAACCAAATTTGCAATTGCTATGCTGTCTTCAGCGGGAAGAAGAGGCAGAAAGGTTCCCATTTTTCCTATTTTTGTGTTACTATCATACCCATCATTACAAAGAGCCCTAGTGAGCATGGGGGTGGCGTGCACCCCAGCTCTTTGGGAGGCTGAGACAGAAGGATTGCTTGAGCCCAGGAGTTAGAGCCCTAGTAGAGTTGTCAGACTTGAAGAAGGAAAACAGACAGAAGGGCATCCTTCCCGCCACCGCCTGTCTCTGTGGCAAGGCTGCTGGGGTGCCTCTCCATCTCCTTCTCATTCCTCCTCCCTTCTGATCCTTTCCTTCTATACAGTTGTAAAGTTTCCTTTTAAACTATGTTTGTTCATTTATTTCTGTTAAGAAAAATTCTCTTTAGGCCAGAAAATGCGATGATTGCAAACAGATAAACATGTTTCATGCTGTCATTTTTTAGGGAAGTGGTTGTTGTTTGGTAGCCAGAGTGGATCTTTTGAGACTTGCACTGGTTTTCATAGAATTGACCAGTTAACTAAGACAGTGAGTTATATCAGGAAATGGTTTCATGTAGTTACACTGCATTGCAGAAATGTAGAGAATAGATCACGGAAGTAGATGAGAAGTGTAATTATCTGATGGAAAGGCTGAATCTCAAATATGCTTTACAAATTATAGTTTAACGGCTTAGCTTGTAACTGCTTTCAGTGAAGCTGTAAGTAAGGGCTACTCATGAAATACTTCTCTTCTTTACCGGATGCAGTGTGGTAGGAGTGTGGGCTCTTTTCTCTGAAAATGTTGGATTTCCCCCCTGGTTCAGGCAGTTTACTTATTTCACTAAGCCTCAGCTCAAAAATGGGGATGATAATAGAATCCCACTCCTAGATCCTTGTGAAAATTAAATAACATAATCCTGAAAGGCATTAACATTGCAAAAATTCAATATACGTGAGCCTTTTCATTGTTGGCACAGGTTCGTGATTTGATACAAATTAAGAAGCGTTTGCTATGTATTTCAAACCTTTCTCTCAAAAAATCATGTGCATATCGGACATTTGAACGATTGTACATGCTAAATTAATGAAGTTTTGCTGTTTAAAATCTAGTTTCTCTGTCTTTTCATAGTTCTTGTGGAAGACTATTCATTGGACGGCTGCTCTGAGGGTACCTAGGCTAGGCCAGTGAGTGATGTGTTTTGGGCTCACTCTGGCCAGATGTGCCCATGAGATGTGGTGCTGGTTAACGTCAGAGAGGCTCCTTCCCATGCCTGCATCCTGCCAGGGGCAGCCAGCACAGTGTGAAACCCACCCTGATGGACACAGGTCCTTCATGAACACTGTTCGTTGGTTCCTCAGGATATGCCCAGTCGGGGATATTGCCGTTTTTTTTTTTTTTGCAATATGTGTTTGCAAGCTGTCTTTAGAAAGCGTTTAGAAAACATTATCAGTTATTTCCAGGGTATTTTACTCTGTCTCACTTTAAAATGTGGCCGCCTGCCCTGTCTTTATCTGCCACAGCAGCCTGTCTACCTCTTAGTATGCACGATTTGAGGAACTCCCAGACCCCAGGCGTTTAGACTATAACCTGCAGATACTGGACAGTGAAAAGAAAACGTGAGGAGCTGGTTGACCTGCAGCACTGGGGATGGCATTCTGATCATTGTATTGTTTCAAAGCAGATTTGAAAGCAGTTTCCCCTTGCTTGCTAAACCTGAGTTCAGATCACCAGGAGTTGCTTCAGTGGATTTGACGGTATGGTAATAGTTGGCAGTTTTTAGCATGAAGCACATAATCTTTGAACAATTAGTCATTTGGAGTTTGCTTATGGGATCACATCCTCTGATATGTGTTAATTGCTAGTGACCGTTTTATGCAAGACAGCATGAAATTGGTGGCCTGAAAACAGACAGGGAGCTGCAAATGATTCCGTTTTACTTCCTTCCTCCTTTTTGCTGTCCCCAACCAGAGAATACTGAGTCTGACCAGCTTTTCCACACACGCATGCCTCTCTCACCTAACGGCATTCCGCTTCTTCCTTGGGAATGTGTTCCATTGGCTTGTAGTTCTCTGGGTCAAGTTAGGAGGAATGCATCCTTGTATGTATCTAGGTATAAATGAGATAAACTCCCATCTTTTCCTTCACTTTAACTTAGATGTTTCTTGGGGCAATTTATGTCGCATTCATAGTTGCAGCCTCTTCTAATGCTTTGGATGGTAACATTATCATGGTTTTAGTACTACCTGACATTCATGTACTGATTCTCACTGTCACCTCTGAGTGTAAGTCATATGTAATCCTATGAAAAGGTGAGGAACCAAGACTAAGTAAGTTTAGGAAACTTGTAGTTTTATGGCTTTATACATGTTTAAGCAATTAGGTGGTGTGAATGTTTTTGAAATACAGGAAAGGGAGATGCAGGAGGAAGAAGAATATAGAGGAGCATGTTGGTGAAAGGACAGGGAAGGGACAGGGAAAGAACACGAGGATATATAGCAGGTGTGGGCCATTTAGACATCAAGAACAGTGGCTTTAAATCCCATGTGGTACCTCCAAATTAAGCATTGTTTTATATGTGTGATGAGGAGAATCATTTTAATCATTTGTTACCAATGAATTTTTTTTTACGTATCCAAGAGCTCTTGTATTTTTTAAATGTAAACAAGTTGGCCTGGGGATTTGGGGAACTGGGTAATAGGAGCAGGGTAGGGAGACCTGGGAGGAGCGAGAAGCATGGGGTGGGGGATCCAGGCTCTAATTCCAGCTTGACCACCTGCAAGGTATGACTTTGGGCAGTTCAGTTAACCTTCAGAGTCTCTGTTTCCTTATCTGAAAAACAAGGTCTAAATGATTAAAAAAATAACACACGGTGTCTACCATGGTGTCTGGTATGCAAGAGGAAGTCCTATTTTAGAATAAGTGTTGTTTTTTCCTCCTTTTTCTTCAGGCTCTCTCATGCCAGCCAAAAACAGAGAATTAGGAACAGAAGTTTGAGTTTTAAAAACCACTGTGCAGTAAAGGTGTGTGGGTGGGGTGCTGATCTCAGAAAATCCTGATTAAAAGTCCGCATACCAGCTGAAGAGTGGATAAGATCCAAGGAATATGCTAAACTTGCCTTCACCGTCAGTGCCATAGGAAATTACATTAGCTGTTCTTTGTTCTGGGCATTGCATTATGTTTGGTGACTCTGAGGAATCTATATAAAGATTAATACTTTTTCCTTTCCACATGTGCTTCCTAATAGCCCCTCACAAATACTATATTGGATTTCGGTACGTCCATCCTTTAACAGAAGAAGCCATTGAAGAGATGGAGAGAGATGGCCTAGAAAGGGCTATTGCTTTCACGCAGTATCCACAGTACAGCTGCTCCACCACAGGTAAGGCATCTCTCTCTCACAGTGGACAGGTAGATGCGGTGCTGGCAAAAATAACGAGGAGTCTAAGTACTGAAGGAGAGGGATGAAGCATTTGCAATTTGAATGGCAAATCCAGCCTGTCTTCTTTAAACATGAGAGTTTAGGTCAGTCTATTTGAAATCTCATGGTCCATCTGTCCCTTGAATTATTGGCCACTTGGCTGGGAATTACAAATGGTGGGTGGTAGGCAGTGGCTGGTAAGTGCTCAGCGCATTAATGCTATTGTGTAATGGATCAGTAAATGAACCTTAAGGCACTTTCTAGGTTTGTGTGATAAACCTTCTTTTTATGGCTACCCAGATTTTCTTTCTTTCTTTGTCTCAAGAAAAAAAAAAAAAAAAGAATTTTGCTCTTGTTGCCCAGGCTGGAGTGCAATGGTGCAATCTCAGCTCACCATAACCTCTGCCTCCCGAGTTCAAGAGGTGGTTCTGCCTCAGCCTCCCGAGTAGCTGGGATTACAGGCATGTGCCACCACGCCTGGCTAATTTTGTATTTTTTAGTAGAGACGGGGTTTCTCTTTGTTGGTCAGGCTGGTCTTGAACTCACGACCTCAGGTGATCCACCCACCTCGGCCTCCCAAAGTGCTGGGCTTATAGGCATGAGCCACTGCGCCTGGCCACAGATTTTCTTATTGATGTAGCAAAGATCGTAACTGTTCCCATTTTAAAAGCAAAGAGACCCACACAACATGGGAAATACTGGTATTTTGTTGTTGCTATTGTGCTGATAATATTGGTTGGTTGCTGGTAAAATCAAAGCCCAGTTCGGGGTTTCCTTTGCAAAATTCTCCATGTTCCTGATTTTGGAAAATGTTACTGCTTGTTGTTTTCTGTATATTTAACCGGAGCTGAAGAATAATCTGTTTGGCAATCTCTGTATCATTCATTGTAGGCAAAGTTGCTACTGTCACCCACAGATACATTTGTTTGCATTCATTGCAAGGATTGAGGTCAGCACATTCTTAGTCCCAAATTGCTTTTGGATATTAATGTTTATCATTTTCTTTAACCATAAGGAGAGTCAAAAGACTATTGAAAGAAAAGGTCAAAGCTTGTTATGTGCTTTAAATATTTGTTCAGAGAACCCATTTAAATGCCTGAGTTCTCATATACCCTCAAGAGTTTGAATTATCATTTCTTTTCTTTTCTTTTTTTTTTTTTTTTCTGAGACAGAGTCTCGCTCTGTCATTGCAACCTCTGTCTTTCAGGTTCAAGCGATTCTCCTGCCTCAGCCTCCCAAGTAGCTGGGATTACAGGCATGCGTCACCATGCTTGGCTAATTTTTGTATTTTTGGTAGAGATAGGGTTTTACCATGTTGGCCAGGTTCATCTCAAACTCCTGGCCACAAGTGATCTACCTTCCTCAGCCTCCTAAAGTGCTGGGATTACAGGCGCTCCGCTTAAATTATTATTTCTTTTTGAAATGTTCTGCTACAAAAAGTTGGGTTGTTTATTGAATGTTTCCAAGCAACCTGAAAGCACTAATGTAGCTTCCAGTTGCCCCCTTGCACATATGAAAATGATATCCACCTGTGAAGTGTGGTTTATAATGTCAACATGGTGGTGACTACTTTTTGATTTCTGAAGAGATTGTTTCTGAACCTTGAATGGAGTCCATTTGAATTCTTCTGATTCACTGTATTCTACTCACCAAAATGGAACCTGTCTATCCTTTTGGAAGTTGAGTCTTAGTCTGAGGGTATATTTGATTTAAAATATGCTCTCTCCTGACTAACATTTTAAATTGGAAACCTAACTAATAGTTCTTATAATTAGAGAGCCCAGTGGATTAGTGATGGAAAGCATGGAGAGGTGGAGGTTGTGGTGAGCTGAGATCATGCCATTGCACTCCAGCCTGGGCAACAGAGCAAAGCTTCGTCTCAAAACCAACCAACCTAACAAAAAATCGTTATAAAGCTTTTATTGTAACATAGAAAATATTTATCTCAGAATATTTAGTAAAAATGCTCAGAACACTCAGCATGCAGAATTGCATATGTATTAAAAATTACAACTTTGTAAAACAAAATAGCTATAAAGAAAAAAAGAACTCAGTCAGAGTAAAACAATGACTGTGATTAGCATGCTGGGAAAATGCTCAGTTTCTTTTTTCTTTTCTTCCCCATCCCATACATGTTCTGTGATGGGGTTGATAATCTTTGTAACTGTGAAAAAAAAACAGACTTTCTTTCTTTCTTTTTTTTTTTTTGAGTCAGGGTTTTGCTGTTGTTGCCCAGGCTGGAGTGCAATGGTGCAATCTTGGTTCACTGCAATCTCCGCCTCCTTGGTTTAAGTGATTCTCCTGCCTCAGCCTCCAAAGTAGCTGGAATTACAGACATGCACCACCATGCTCCCCTAATTATGTAGTTTTTTAGTAGAGACAGGGGTTTCTCCGTGTTGGTCAGGCAGGTCTCAAACTCCCGACCTCAGGTGATCAGCCCACCTCGGCCTCCCAAAGTGCTGGGATTACAGGGATGAGCCACCATGCCCGGCCAACATACTTTCAATTTCATACTTACAGAGACTTGTCCCTGTAAATATGACTGCTTATATTTCATAACTCTCCAGCCATCTTGTTTTTCACTAGAACTGACATCAGTAATCTTTGAAAGTCCATTGAAATTGATTGCTTTTTAGTGATCTTCATTTTCAGAGTAGTTAAATCTATATGCACTTTAGAGTATTGAAGTAATTGTGATTAGACTGATTCAGTATAGAAGCAGTTACTGCTTTGAACTTGTATATACTACCTTTACAAGTCTGTTTTTTATTTTCACCATAATCAAAATGCATCTACTGAGTGGCCTCTGTATATTTCAGGCAGCAGCTTAAATGCCATTTACAGATACTATAATCAAGTGGGACGGAAGCCCATGATGAAGTGGAGCACTATTGACAGGTGGCCCACACATCGCCTCCTCATTCAGGTAAGCCAGTGACCGCCAGCCGCCCGTCACCCCGTCGTCCAGTGTGAATCAGCTGCTCGTCCCTTCTGGGTTTATGGATGTCCTTCTGAGCTTTACTGTTCTCTTGCTTAAGTTGTGTGTTAGGGATTAAATAAAAGTATTACACTCTTGATTTATTATGAAAAGGGGAAATGAATTTAAAGATTAAAATGATTAGACTCTTCTTTCTTCACATTAATGCTATTAGTCCCAAACCATCACAAAATGATATTTTGAGTTTTGAGTTTCCCATGACCAGAAGATCATTAAAGATTGTGCATGGTGTTTCAGCTAACTCACATTTAGAGATCGAATGACTAACCAATGAATTAAATTTTCTATTTTCTAAATCTTTTAAAATGTCAAAAGATTTAAAAAAATGTAAAAGTAATATAGCTACATGCTCTGAGACATGAAAATGAATGTTTCAATTGAGAAAGCTTCACCTATTAAAAGAAATTTCATATTTCTTCTATACAGTTTACATTTATAATATTTTTATTAACAGGTGCTTGATTTTAGGAGAATAAGTTAAAATTACAGTTCTAAAATTAGTAGCTTTGAACTTATGTTACCATATTCTTTTCTGCCTGTCAAATATGAGAGGGCAGTTGGTAAAATATTGCCCTAAAATATGCAAATATAATTTTGTTCTGCTAGTAGAAGTTTCTGTTTTTGAGTTATTTTAGGTAGGGGTAATATTAGGTCATTTAGATTTTATCCATTTTATTTTTCACTCCTCGAAGGTTTTCTGACTCCTGGCAAAAAACCCTACTCACTTCTAAAGTCTGGTGTCACTGAAATCTGTGACCACTAGATGGTGCTAGATATCATTGAAATCGGGCCAGCTCTCCCCAGAGCAGTGTTCCATAGGCACATAAAGGGTTAACATTTGGGTTGAAATCCAATTTTAAGTAAAAAGTGAAAAGAAGGCTTACCCTTAGGGGTGGGTGTAGTGGTCTCTGTGTGCACCACTGACGGCTGTATTGCTGGGTCCAGCCAGTACTGCCTGAAGCACCAGCAGCCTGGGTTTTGCTCTGGGAGGCCTGTGATAGGAAAGGAGGGGTGTTTCAGGTCAGCACTGCCATGTGGTAGCAGGGAATGGAGGGATCTGCACAGCATCTGCCTGCCCTGAACGAGTGAGTAATTAGATTTGCATTAAAATTCAGCCCTTTGAAAAGGGGGGAAGCAGGACGATGGAAAGGTCTCTTAACTGAGGAAGTCTCTGTTCATAAAATGAAAGGGAATTTTAGAGGCATTTATCTGCCCTTCTAGATGGTGTGATTGAAGGCTCTGAGAGGCTCTGTGCCTCTTTCATTCTGCAGGGGGGTTGCCTGTAGAAAATACTGCAGATGGGTTTTAGGTGATTTAAATAGCACTTCTCCTTGCCCATGGCGCCTTAGTTTTGAGGATGGCTTAGAGGCTGTTGCAAGCCATATGATTTGTGTTTTTACTTGCAGTTTTGCAAGCCAAGAAAAAAAGCAAAACAAAACACTAAGCTTTGGATATGATGTGACATTTTTGGAAACCAGAAAACAAAACCCTAAACTAAAACTAAAAATATAGTTAAAAACTACAAATTCCATTTTGAATTCACATTTCTACTTGGTATAGGTAGTAATTACTCCAAATAGTCATTTTATTACTGTTTTCTCCATTATTGGTATTTTCTAGCTGTTGGAGTAATTGGAGCAAATATATGTTCTAGGCTCCTGTCTAAACCTTGCAATGGGCCTCCTTATCTAGGCTGAGGTCCAAAAATAATCCTTTCTGAGCATCCTTAGTTTCCAAACACTGCAAAGACCAGAAAATATTGGTTTTGTTTGTGTCTAATCCTATCACATTTACTGAGAATTTACATTATAAATTCTGAAAAAGGAATTTACCTTTAGGTACCACTTTATGCCTTAGGACATTTATTTACCAAATTTTGAGAGTTCTGGAAAGATTAACCATATCTTAATAATTATCAGGGAATAGTTTGCTTATACCATTGTTTTCACCGGCACTGATATATCAAACTACCAACAAGTGCAGATTTACATGTTTCTGATAAACTGACCTTTTTAATTTTTAAAAAGTTATAATGGACAGTTTGGAAATAATTTTAGATATGCAGAAAAGTTACAAGATTAAAAACAGTATAAGGAACTCTCATCTACTCTTTTACCTATATTCATGTATTATTATTATTTTGAGACAGGGTTTCACTCTATTGTCCAGGCTGGAGTGCAGTGGCATGTTTATAGCTCACTGCAGCCTTGACCTCCTGGGCTCAAGTGATCCTCCTGCCTCAGCCTCCTCAAATGCCACAGACATGTACCATCATGCCCTGCTAATTTTTAAAAATTTTGTGGAGATTAGGTCTTTCCATGTTGCCCAGGCTGGTCTTGAACTTCTGGGCTCAAGCAATCCTCCCACCTTGGCTCCCAAAGTGCTGGGATTACTGGCGTGAGCCACTGCGTCTGGCCTATTGACATGTTATTAACACGTATATCCCACTTGGTTTATCATTTACATACTCTATGTGTGTGTGTATATGTGTGTGTCTCTGTGTTTGTATATACACCCTTTTTCTTCTGACCCATTTGGGAATAAGTTATGCGTATATCACCATCATCTACACCTAAATACTTAGGTGTGTGTTTCCTAAAATCAGGAATATTCTCTTACATAACCACAATACAACATTCAAATTCAGTAAATTTAACATCAATACATAAACTTTTACTTAATTTACATTCATATCCTGATTTTGTCAGTTGACCCATTTCTGTCTTTTGTAGCATTTTTTATAAGCGAAATGACAGAGAATGATTAAAGTATAAGATGAAAGAAAGCCCCTTCAGCTCTGGTATTTCAGCACCTATTGACGTGAATCAGAAAGTGCTAGCTAGACGAAGGGAGCTCCCTGGTCTGGTGGACAGAGGTTTGGAGCGGGAGGCAGGAACCATGTTCTCTCGCAAGTTCCCCAGATGGGACTGAATGGGCCCCTGAGTTTACCACATCTTTCCCCGCTCTGTGAATTTAATGGGTGTGTATCACCTGTCATCTGTTACTGTGAAGGTTTTTATAAAAATGGACTTGATGGGGATGCAGGCTGAGAAGAAAATGTTGTAAAAATAGAACAGTATTTTCTTATTTCCCTACTATTTCTGACTCATGTATTTAATGTGGTATGCCTGAAAGCCAAACCACGGAGGCTTTAGAAAGACCCTGTAAGCTATTTTCCTGCTAACGGAGCAAATGAGACGTCTTAAAACAACTTCTCCTTCCCATCTGTGTTTCCTTTCCATCTGGAAGTGTGCCCTGTCCTTCCCGAGGGGAAGCACATCCACGGTGCACATTTGCAGTGAGCCATTAGTGAGCTTTAGAAGTTTCCCAGCAAATTCCCCAGGCCCCTGAAACCGTTATGATCCATTTTGATAATAAACCAATGCTTAGAGGCTGGAGTGTTTGCAATTTTTTAAAAAAGAGAGGTCTGATTTTTGAGGGTTGCTCCGAGATTTTTGGTGTAGCCTTCATTTTAAAAATCTTTCCTTTTTCCTTCCATTTCTCTCTTCCCTTCCTCTTTACCCTCCTTTTGCGATTCCCGCAGTGCTTTGCAGACCACGTTCTAAAGGAACTGGACCGTTTTCCACTTGAGAAGAGAAGCGAGGTGGTCATTCTGTTTTCTGCTCACTCACTGCCAATGTCTGTAAGTAAGAACGTTTTGTTGTATGACCTGGTGATGGAGGATTGGGTGATTTCATTTTCTAAATGTGTAAAATGAGTCTAGCTTCCATTATGTCCTAAGCCCAGTGCAAGAATGAATTCTCAAATCTCAGACGTGCTGCTAATTTTTTTTCCTGATACTTGACTTGCTGCTAGTTTAGCCTCATTTCTTCAAACCTCATAACAAGGAATTCAAATTTTAATGTTTTAAATAGATCTTTTCCTTTTTTTTGAGACAGGGTCTTGCTCTGTCACCCAGGCTGGAGTTCAATGTCACGATCTCAGCTCACTGCAACCTCTGCCTCCTGGGTTCAAGCAATTCTCCTGCCTCAACCTCCCAAGTAGCTGGAATTCTAGGCACCCACCACCATGCCTAGCTAATTTTTTGTATTTTTAGTAGAAACCGGGTTTCACCATGTTGGCCAGAGTGGTCTCAAACTCCTGACCTCAGGTGATCCACCCGCCTTGGCCTGCCAAGGTGCTGGGATTACAGGTATGAGCCACCATGCCTGGCTCCTCTTTTCTTTAAAATGATAACTTGAAGATATATTCAAATGTAAGACTTTCTAATAAGTGGAACAGTTAAGAGAAGGTTACTTTTGCCTGCCCTGTTCTCAGAGCTCAGCGTGATGTTGCTGTGTGTTGAGTGGGAGGTTTTCCATTCAGATGAAGCCTCTCAATCCCATGCTTTTGTCCTCAGGGTTTGGTGGGGCTATTTGAATCCCAGGCAGCCACTGCAGTTTGCTAAGACCCAGGAACACATTTTTTGCAAGTGAATACAGAGGATCGAGTTGGGATCTGGCTGCTCTTTAGTTCATCATATTACACTAGGCTGTTCATCCAGATGCTACAATCTGTGCCGTAGCTGTCTCATTGTTGGAAGCAAGAATGATCAAGCCAGTGTGCTGTATGATAATAGAGAAGTGCTTGGAATAAGTAACCAGTTTCATCTGCTCAGAACTAGCCTTGTGTCCTAAAAAACAGTGCTTTCCAAGCCAGAGAGGTGGAGAATTATCTCTTCATAGGTGTGATTGAGGTTTTAACAACATCGGGAATGGAGCCAAACTGTGTCTGCGGCCATGCTTGTAACTGGGCCTTACCGCCCCCTGGTGGCCATAAGGGACAAGCCCTTGTAGATTTTTCCACTCCTCATCTCTGCGGGCCTCCTGTGGGTGGTAAGAGGCTCTGGAAATAAATTCCTCTCTCTGGACCTCTCTTCTGGAAGCCCACCTATTTAAATGGGTTTAAATTTCCTTTTCTGGTGTCAGGCAGTCCTTTGCACATGTCCATCTTCCTGCCTCATCCTATGTATGGTGAGATCTAGCCTGGGTTGCCAGAGGGAAGCTCTTGAACCAGCTTGGAGCAAACACATTTGCTTTTTTTTTTTTTTTTTTTTGATGGGGTCTCGCTCTGTTGCCCAGGCTGGAGTGCAATGGTGCGATCATGGCTCACTGCAGCCTCCACCTCCTGGATTCAAGCAATTCTCCTGAGCCGTCTGAGGCTCTGGGACCACGGGCACACACCACCGCACCTGGCTAAGTTTTTGTATTTTTAGTAGAGACAGGGTTTCACCATGTTGCCCAGGCTGGTCTCAACATCAACTGATCCACCCACCTTGGCCTCCCAAAGTGCTGGGATCACAGGCATGAGCCACTGTGCCCAGGCAAAACCCATTTTTGTATGTGGGGATTCCAGGCACTGCCTTGCCTTCCCTCACCCCGGTCTCACTTCCCTGGCCTCTCACCTGGAGGTGCAGCATGCTGCTTCCAGGTTATTTTGCTGCTCAAGCGTTCTTGTGGGACCGGGAAGTGCCACAATGTCATAAGGATAAGCCTGGCATGGGGAGGGCAGTTGGAGAGTTGAGAGAGAGCGCTGACCTAGCATGCTCTTCTCTTCCCCTACATTTACTTCTAATGACTTTTTAAACTTTTTATTTTGAAGTAATTTTTAAACTTACAGGAAACTGGTTAAAAGAGTAAAGAGTTAAAAGAATACGTACACCTTCTCTGCAGCTTCCCCGAACGTTAACATCTCACACAACCACTCTACGGTTATCAACACTAAGAAGCCAGCACCGGCACACTGCTATTCCCTGCACCCCAGGCTTCATGTGGATGTCACCTCTATTTCCAAAGCTGTCTTTTTTCTCTTCCGGGACCCAGTCCAGGGTCCCACACTGTGTGTGGGTGTGGGGTTTCCTCAGCACCCTCCAATCTGTGACAGTCCTTACACTTGGCTTTTCTTTCATCACCTTGATTTTTTTTTTTTTTTGAGACAGGGTCTCACTCTGTCACTCGGGCTGGAGTGCCGCGGTGCAGTCACAACTCAGTGCAGCCTCGACCTCCCAGACCTGGGTGATCCTCTCATCTCAGTCTCCTGAGCGGCTGGGACTACAGGTGCGCACCACCACACCCAGCTAATTTTTGTATTTTTTGAAGAGACAGGGCTTCGCCATTTGCCCAAGCTGGTCTCGACTTCCTGGGCGCAGGTGATCCACCCACCTCAGCCTCCCAAAGTGCTGAGATTACAGGTGTGAGGCACCACACCCTGTCGCACCTTGATACTTTTGAGGAGCCATTTTTAGGAAGTCGGTTGTTTTGTGGCGTGATCTGTCTGAAGTTTTCTCATGATTAGATTATGGTTATGCATCATTGGCAAGAACCCACAGGGGTGAGGGGCCCTGCTCCGTGCGTCACACCCGGGGGTCCATGATGTCAACGTGCTTTTCTTCTGGTGATGTGATCCCTGGTCCCTCGTTTAAGGTTGTGTCTGCCATGCTGATCCATCCTACAATTACTATTTTTCACTTTGTAATTAAAAATATCTTGGAGGAGATAGCTTTGAGACAATACAGAGATTCTGTTATTCCTCAGACTTTGCTCTTATCTTAGCATCCACAGGTAGTTCATGTTTGTGGCATTACTGCATTGCTGTTCCAGTGGTGGCTTTGTGTTTCTTTCACTCCTTCTACATTTATGCCTCCCATGGCTTTTAAACAAACCAGTAGTAATAATCATAAAATTGTTCATCAGTACATACATACGCACACTATACTGTACTATACTATACTGTATATACTATACAGTATAGATACAGTATATAACATACTGACATATATAGTATACACATATAGCATATGTCAGTACATATATACATATATATGTGAGTCTTGACAGAGCAAGACTCCATCTCAAAACATACATATATATATACACATATGTTTTGAGATGGAGTCTATATATATATATATATATATATACACACACACACAGGTATCGATCGACTTATGACCTATGCAACTTACGACCATTTGGCTTTACGACCACAATTGCTAGCCACAACTGCCCTGCGTCTGGCAGCGCAAACGTTGCCCAGCTGGGTGTATGACAATGCGGACCAGCTTCCGGCAGTACTACCATCTCCGCGTGCATATAGCCTACTCAACTTACGACCAAATCGTGTTACGACCGGCCTGTCGGAACCAATCGTGGTCGTAAGTCGAGCACCATCTGTACACACATATATACAACTAGTGCTCAACTTACGACCACGATTGGTTCCGACAGACTGGTCGTAACACGATTTGGTCGTAAGTTGAGTAGGCTATATGTACAGTACTGTGAAATGATGTTATAAAAATCTTTGTCATATTTTATCATAATTTTCTTTCATTATTGTTATATATCATAATTTTCTTTGTTCATTTTATGCCATTTGTATCATCTCTACACCATTTTGTTTCTTACCTTTACAGTCATCAGGTTTAAGTAAAACACTGTATTACCAGTACAACTGGTTTAATATTTGCAAAACATACAAAATTACAAAATACAGGTGCATACAAAAATACAAAATACAGGTGTGAAAAATACCATAGGAAACATTTTCCCAATTGCAAAACATATCAAAATATATAAACATGTACGAAACATTTTGTTGGCCAATGGTGCTTGGCTGCAGATCGTTGATGTCGTCATCTGAGGCAGCAGTTGGGGTTACCGGAGTTGGTTTTTTCATAAACATGGTGAGCTCTGCATGAATTGTATGTTTCTTTTTTTCTTCATAAATTTCACGATACGGATGAAACACATCGTGCGTCATCTGTTCAATCCTTGCAAATAGTTCGATGTTTGGGTCCATTGCTTCGAAATGTGTAAGAAGTTTATTCAGTAAAGATAAACCGTCTGATAATCCCTTAGTGGTGAACTTTCTTTCTGGCTCCTCCTTTCTTTCTCTGCTTCTTTTCTTTCTTCTTCCGCCACTCTTTCTTCTTCCAGTTCGATTAGCTCTTCATTTGTAAGTTCTCCAGATTCTTTGTCTACCAACTCTTCGACATCTTCCATTTCACACTCCAAAGAAAGGTCTTTAGCGAGTTTTACTATTTTTTCCCGAATCGTGTCAAGTTCATGTTCACTGTCAAATCCGTCAAAATCATTAACATAGCGCTTAACACAATTTTTCCAGATGCCATTCATGCACTTTGTTGTCACAGCCTCCCAGGCAGTAGCGATATTCTTGATACACATCAAAGTGTTGTAGTGTTTCCAAAAATCTACAGCGGAGCAGTCGTGGCTAGCGATTGTGGTCGTAAAGTCGAATGGTCATAAGTTGCATAGGTCGTAAGTCGATCAATATCTGTAAATGCATATACATGTGTATATGTGTATATATATATATATATATATATATATATATATATATACACACACACACGTTTTGAGATGGAGCCTTGCTCTGCCACCCAGGCTGGAGTGCAGTGGTGCAATCTCGGCTCACTGCAACCTTTGTCTCCCGGGTTCAAGCAATCCTCCTGCCTCAGCCTCCTGAGTAGCTGGGATTATAGGGACCACCACCAAACTTGGCTAATTTTTGTATTTTTAGTAGAGACTGAGTTTCACCATGTTGGCCAGGCTGATCTTGAACTCCTGACCTCAGGCGATCCATCCACCTTGGCCTCCCAAAGTGCTGGGATTACAGGGGTGAGCCACTGCACCCAACTTGTCATTATATTTAATTTTGCCAATATTTATTGAGCACCTGCTATATTCCAGGCACTGTTTCTATCCATATCATAGGATATGGAAATGAAGAAAACAGACAAAAATCTTTTTTTTTTTTTTTTTTTTTTTTTTTTTTTTTTTTTTT